AGAAACAGTTAGATCATTGCTAAGCAGCAGAACTGAGGAACGAATGGCAAGAAAGTAGCCAACCTGAGATCGCTAGCTCTTCATCGTTCTGCCAAATGCCCTGCTTAATGCTTTAACTTTTAGTGGCAGGCCCATTCTATACTTCCCAGGGAACAAATTACAGTAAAACAGCAAAACTGCCTATGAGATATTCAGGGGAAAACCTATAGGTTAGCTCTAAGTGAAAGTACAAGTCAATCAACCAAAATACATGTTAATCTCCCATCGTAAGCCATTCACTCTGTTAGATGCTAGAACAAAATGATAGTACCTCCCCTCAAAGAGATTACATCCAAATGACTCATGGGAACCCATAAACAAATAGAAGAAACACGTAATCAACAAAAACAAAGAAATAAAAATTTCTATATACTTCTAAGTCAGGCGGTCTTAACTTTTTTGTGCATTGGAAACCTTTGGCAATTCAGTAAAGTCAATACTACTGTGGCTTGTTGCCTACATTCAAATTTGAAGGAAATGCTAAATTTCTGTTGGAAGTTATTGAAAATAAAATATGAGTTTTGTTCCCATTCAAGTTCCTGGATCCCCTGAAATCTATCAGTGGACCCCTTTGAGGTCTACAGAACCCAGGTTATGAAACCCTGTTCTAAATTGTCATCGCAATTTTCTTCTCTCCCTGGTGGGTTCCACTTATCATAAGGTTCCTAGAGTCCTGACTCAACAGTACTCTGTAGTTTATTTAGATCTCCTTTGGGAGGGTACTGATCTTGGGGTTGTGAGTATAGCTATACTCTGACATTCCAGTGAAATCCCTGTCCTAGATGGTCCTATATAGTGCCCCCAGGACTGAGAATGCTATCTTGTGTGGACTCCCCCTGGAAGGCAAACATGTAATGAAGCCCCTGAACCAGAAGATCCTATTTCTTATCAGACCTACACCATCCAAATAACTCACAGTGATAACAAGTAGAAAAGTTAAGGTCTTCTGTTACCCTCCTATAAACAGTAACCCAAGATCCAAAGATGGCATTATACGTAAACTGTCCTTTTTGAATGTAAGGATGAGCACATGAGAACTTCTGCTATAAGGCAGTCTATTCCCACCATAGCTAAAGATTTTCTTTAGTGCCCCCCCCCTTGTTGATTCTGCGTCCTTTTTCTGTCTCAGTGGGACCTTCTTTCCACACTATAACTTGGATGTCTAGTTTTCCCAAAATTTGATTCACCCCTATTTATCCAATATTTTAAAAACCAGCTTTCAGATCTTCTATTCATGAAAAAGTAAAAATAGCTAATGTGACACATTAGAAATCATCTAAATTTAAACTCATTCATTTTACATATCAGAAAACTGACAGAGGTAAAGCAACTTATCCAAGGTTAGGTAGTAAGTAGTAGAGCCTAGATTGGAACCTAGATCCCTTGACTCCAAGTCCAATACTCTTTCCAACACACCATGTTTAGTTTTTACATTTTGATTGGGATCAAAGCCTCAAGCTAAAGGGGTAAAGCTCCAACTGTGGAATATTTGAAGGGGGATGTCTAGAGTTGATTATCTGCTTATAAATTAGTATACTAGAAAGGTCATTTTATTTTGTTTTTACAAATTCACAGTTTTCAAATAAAAATCAGGAAAAACCTGGCCTTGGTTTTTGAGTTGTATGCAATGCAGAATTTTTTTTCAAAAGGTGACATCAGCATACTTTCCTTGGGAAAAGACATTTTTCTTTCTATTTAACCAAATTTGACAAATACAGAGACTTTGAATTTATAGTAAAAAAAAAAGACCTAGGATCAAAACCCTGCTCAGTTATTTTCCAGCTATATCACAATGAGCAAATCACTTTACCCTGAATAGCCTCAGTTTTGCCTTCTGTAAATTGTTGGTGCTAAACCACTCTAACTGGGGCTTTTGGGAAGAAACCATGTTCTGAATCCATAGTATTTAAATATAAAAGTATTCTATATGTACAGGCTACTATTATGCATAAGGATTAATCCTGACCACTCCTGTGAAATATTATTATTCAAAAAACTGCATAAAATAAGCATCAATTCAGTCCTCATAGATGCAGATACTCATTTAACTTCTGTCTGACTTAGTTTCCTCAAATGTAAAATGGGGATGATAATAGCACTTACCTTACAAGATTATTGTGACGGTAATATGCAATAATATTTGTAAAGTACCTGGCACTGTATCTGGTATATTTCTTGCCGCTGTTCAGTCATTTCAGTTGTGTTCAACACTTCATGATGCCATTTGGGGTTTTCTTGGAAATGTTACTAGAGTGGTTTGCCATTTCCTTCTCCAGCTCGTTTTACAGATGAAGAAACAGAGGCAAGCAGGGTTAAATGATTTGTGCCCAGGATCACACAGCTAGTAAGTGTCTGAAGCTGGATTTGATAAGTCTCATCAGGAAGATAAGTCTTCCTGACTCCAGGCCCAGCACTCTATCCACTGAACCACCTGGTACATAGTAGTGCTTAATAGATACTTGTTTTCTTTCATTTACCTAAATGAATATATGTTCAAAATAATGCCTGCAGAATATGAGGAAAAATTAACCTTTACATGGTAGCTTTGTCACTTTTTTCAATTTTTCATTTAGTTTAATCAATGTTTACCATATTCTTTACATTGATACATTCTCTGAAATTTGATGAAAAAATAATTTATGATAATCATTAGCAACAGTAACAAGAATTTTTTGAAACCCTCTACATGGAGAGAGCTTAAAGCAGACACAAGATAAAGTCTCTACCCACAAAGGTATAGCAGTATACTTGAGGACCAGGGAGATACACACAAAGATAAATAACAGGTAGGGCTGGTATAAATAATTCATATAATCCTTCTCCCTTCTCCCCAAAATACACACCTGACTAGACTGAGCTCCTTAAGAGTAGAATCTGTGTCTTATTGCATCTTACCTAGCAAAATGACTTGATAAATAAATGTTTGTTGAATTGTATTGTATTGAATTGAATTCAAATATCCTCCCTTCAATAGATTTTTCAGTTAGTCAAAAAGCATTTGGTAAGAACTTACTATGTGCCAAGCACTAGACATACAAATAAAAGCAGAAACACTTTATGCCTTCCAACATCTCACATGCCTAATAAGGAGGAAAATATGAAAATAATTATGTAGATCCTAAATAGAATATTTAGGGTAGATGGACAGTAATCTCAGAGGGGAAGACATTGGTAGCTGGGGTTTTGAAGGAAAGGCCTTACTTTACAGAAGGTAAGATTTGAGCTGAGTCTCAAAGGAAGCCAGGGGGGAAGTAAGGGGCAGAGGGAAAGAACAGGCGCATTCCAGGCACAAGGCACAGCCAGTGCAAGGTCACAGAATGGAATGTCGAAGAAAAGCTTATCGCCAGTAAAACAGAATTAGTGAATGGATCAAGGGGAATAAAATGAAAGAAGACTAGAAAACCAAGAAAGAGCCCAATTGTGGAGGGTCTTAAATGCCAGAGTTTATTTTTGATCCTCGAGGTAATAAGGAACCTCTGTAGTTTATTCAGTAAAGGAGTAATATGGTCAGATCCAGGCTTTAGGAAAATCACCATAGTAGCTCAATAATATTATATCTGAATTGGAGTAGAGAGGGATGAGACAAAGAGGTGAATTAGAAGACTAGTATAAGCAAGAGGTAATGAATTTCATTCAATACTCTGAAGCTCCTCCTTGCTCCAAACCTTTACAAAATATTCACTATTCCTATCCAAAATCAAATTTCTGATTGTTTCATCCATTGTGATTTTCCTTGAGAAGAGTTTTAGATTCTTTTCAAAATAGAAGTAATATATTTACTTATTCATACCTAAATGTTCTTACCTAAGCAGATTTATTATTAATGCCATATATCTTGGATAGCTTTACTAGAAGTCCATACTGAGGGAAGAACATTTGGGCATAAGTATATAAAGGCAAAAGCTTGGATGGAAGCTTGGCTTCATCAACGCCATGTTGTAACCTACTGTCATCTTATCTTAAAAAAGCACCTGTTCTGTCAATATGGTGTGTCTTGGGTCTGGATCTGAATCTTGACATTTAATATCTGTCCAGTTTTAGGGAAGTAATTTAACCTCTTTTGGCCTCACTTTCCCCTTTTGGAAAATGAGGAGTTGGGACTAGATGACCTTTCAAGTAACTTTAAACTCTGGAGCTCTGATGCTGATTCTATAAACCATATAGGTTCCTTAGGGCAGAATATGAAGAGTAAACTGGCTGATCATGGGCCCTCTTCAGTACAGATTAGGTGATTCTGTTATCCAGGTTTTAGAGACCTCAAGCCTGTCAGTAGTTTATTTAAATGAATCCATGGTTAATTCTGCAATACATTTACAATATAGACAAACTGTCTCAATAATAGATTTGCCATTGATGTGAACCCTTTTATCCTATCATACTATGATCAAAGGCTCTTCCTCTTTAATGTATACTGCCACAAATACATAGGAAATGTCTCACATCTCAGAAGGGGCTCAATTATGATTATGAGAATTGTGGCACAGAACAAAGCCTGAAGTGTTTTAGTTTCTCTACCCTTATTTGTGGAAAATTACCAACAAAAAGCTCAGAATCTTAACCAAGGAACATCCTTAAGAGAATTCAGTATTAAAAATTCTGTTTACATAACTGTTGATGGATCCACTTGGCATACATACAAAATATGTCAAGTATTTGACAATCTTCCAAGTGTGTTTTGAATAACAATGCTTCTGGCCATATTTCTTTGCCATCATTGCTGAAATGGATTTGATAGTTCTGTTTTCTCTCTTTATCATTCAATTGCAATCCCATTCCAAAATAAATCCTATGCTGAAGAGATATTTAAAGCATTCAACAATAGAAACTCATTTATTTTGTGAATTCTCCTTCAAACATCACTACCAAGAACTGAAAAGAAACAAATCTCCCCATTTTTTTGACATTTGTATTGTTGTTCTGTAAATATTCAATTCTTCAAATGTTTTCATTTATCTCTTAAGGTCCTAAATCAAACATCTCGACTTGAAATTCAACTATTGGAGAATTCATTATCAACTTACAAGCTAGAGAAACAACTGCTTCAACAGACACATGAAATCCTAAAAATCCACGAGAAAAACAGGTGAGGGTACATTATTAGACTCCTAAAGTAGTTTCCTTTGGTTTCCATTTCTTCAGAACTCATTACTATACTGTTAAATGACTGCTATTACATTATTTCTACAATGATCTATTTGTGGTATTTAATTGAATTAACATAATTCAGAAAGGATCATGGATCTATAAGGTAGGAAGACACCAACTGTTACTAATAATACTAAATTTTATACTATTTTGAGGCTGCCTTTAGGCAATAGATTAAAAGCAAGGAGAACCCAGGCTTCTGGCTTGCTCTTCATACTGGCTTAATACACTGTACTGGAAGATCGTTTGGGGAGGAGGAAGAGCTAGAGAATCAGAGAATGCTTCACGACACAGTTATATAGTTCGGATATGTCTTAATAACTCTGTAGCATTACATGAATGTATTCCCCTATGTTGGGTATGAGGAAAGTTTTGTAAATTTGATTATGTTGTAAATTATTTGAAGTTTTAGGCATTGGGATATAGCAGGCAATAGTCAGGAGACCCTGACATTAAGATCATTGACAGTCTCCATTAAAGTAAATTGAAAACAAAACAAAACACTTATGGAAGCCTAGATCTAATTCTTTTTAGGTATTTTTAATTGCTGTTGTACCTAGAAGCTAGGATAGAACTAGAGAAGCTGCTGGATTATGTGCTTTTGTGTTACTGAAAAACAAATAGTAAGGTGCAATTTCCATCTGCTTTAGAATATTATTTTTCTAACATTTAATGTTACCCCACCAAAAAAGGTAGTATTGTATCATTGTATCTTTGAAACTACTCCTTTATGAAATTTTGTTTAATGGTAACTGTGGATAAAAATAACATTATTTTATTTCCATAAATTAGCTGTTCTGGATACCATCACGACATCATGGAAGGTAGTACAGTTGTAGCTTACTTTGCTCTAACTTTAAGATTATTGATAGTAGAAAAGTGGCAAGTTCTTTCTTTTAGGAATTTAAATATCTAGATAAATAGAAATGCAGTTAGAGAATAACAAATAGTATATGTTCATTCTGTGCCAAACTCCATGCTAAGTTATGGGGATACAAAGAAAACCAAAAATAAGGTCCATGCCCTCAAGGATCTCACATTCTAATAGGAAAGACTACCTTCAAACATCTAAATACGTAAGAGATAAAGACAGATAGTAGAAAATAGATGGGGGGGGGATAGAGAGAGAGAGAGAGAGAGAGAGAGAGAGAGAGAGAGAGAGAGCGAGCGAGAGAGAGAGAGAGGGGGAGAGAGAGAGAGAGCGAGAGAGAGAGAGAAGGTGGTCAGTATTCTCAGTACTTCAGAAGAAACAGGCCAGCAGGAGGGCAGGGGAAGGGTGGGGGACATCTGAAAAAGACCTCTTGCAGAAGATGGTATTTGAGTCTGGGGTTTTGAAGGAAGCCAGGATCACCCTGAGCAGAGGTGAAGAGGGAGAGCATGTCATACATAGGGAATGTAATCAGTGAATTGGCACAGACTCAGGAAAAGGAGTGTCCAGTGCAAGGAACAGTGAGTAGAACAGAATTGCTAAATTGTACTTCAAAAGAAAATATAGACCAAGAACACTTGGAAAGGAAGAAAGGCTTTAAGAAGGGCTTTAAAAACCAAAAAAAAAAAATTGTACATTTTCTTTTGGATATAAAAAAGAGGTATTAGAGATATTATTACACACATTTTTACAGATAAAGAAACTGAGGCTCAGAAAGATTAAGTAACTGACCTGGGATCATATATATGATCAATCAGTCATCAACATTCATTAAGCATTTACTATTTGCTAGACACTGTGCTAAGCAACAAAGATAGAAAGAAAAAGGAAAAATAATGCCTGTCGAGATTCTGCGTTTTAAATGAGGAAGGCAATGTTATAATAGTGAAGTTGTATGAACTTTTCAATCAGAAGATCTGGGTTTAAATTATGCCTCTTATCCTTGTTGCATGATCTCTGGCAAGTCATTTAACTTCCCTGGGATTCATTTTCTTCATTTGTAAAATTTGGGGCTTGGATTGTGTAGCTTCTGAGGTCCTTTCCAGTTCTAAACCAAGGATCCTATATGTAAATCAGAGTAGAAACAAGTAAATAATAGGTAACCTTAGAAGGGATGGCACTGGCATTAAGGAGGGGACCAGGAAAGGTCTCCTGGAGGAAGTATCTTGACACAGCTAATGATAATTTTGACATATGATACATTTGCCTTATGTCATGTTGACCACTGGGATCTGGAACTAAAGATCTCATTAAAAGTTACACTTCCAGAGGCAGCTCAGAATATATGTGTATGTTGTCTGAATGAACAAGGAAGGTAGGTTTGTCTTCCTTTATCTTTTTCTCTTGTCTTAAGGATGGGATAAAGCAGTGGTGCCAAATTTAAATAGAAACAGGGACCATTAAGTCATACATGAAGATCTCAGTGAGCTGCATATTGACTCAGAAAACCACATGTTAACAGTATATGTGTTTTATTATAATTTTATTTATTTTGTTAAATATTTCCCAGTGACATTTTCATTTGCTTCAGGCTGCACTTGGGAGTGTTGGGGTCCAGATGTGGTCTGTGGGCTGCATATTTGACACCTGTGGTGTAAACCATCTCTCAACAAGTTATTTACCACATATGTTATCCTTGACAACTATCTAGCATTGTATTGAATTATTAATCTCTTGACAGAAATGCTCCCTACATATGCTCCATTGAGGGAAAGTATAGCAGAGTGGAGAGACTGAGTACTGGGCTTGAAAATAATAATAACAATAATAATAACTAAACTTTATGTACCACCTACTATGTTCCAGATACTGTATTGGGCTTTACAAATATCTCATTTGATCCTCTCAACAACCCAGGGAGTTAGGTTCTTTTATTATCTCCATTTTATAGATGGGAAAACTGAGGCAAACAGGTTAAGTGACTTGTCTATGGTCACATAGCTAATAAATGTTTAGATTTGAAATCAGATCTTCCTGACTCGAGGCCAAGTGTTCTATCCACTTTGCTACCTCGCTGCCTCTGAGACATGAGAATCCTATTAGTACTCACTAGCTAGATGATTCTTGGTAATTCAATTAACAGATTTGAGCCTCTTTTCCTCATCTGTAAGATGAGGAAAATAATAGCATCTACCTCTGGGAGTTGTTGAGATTTTAACAAGAATTAATGCTTATAAAATCTGTGTAATCTTCAATGTGTCACAAAAATACCAGCTATAATTATCCTTATCCTCGGCATTATTATTATGTCTCTACTGGATACTCAAGATGTTAAAATGCTACCCGTATTGCAAGTAGGAGTGCTTCCCCTTGAAAATCAATAAGTGATTTAAAAATATTTATTTATCTTATTTCTTTAGTATCAACCCCACATCAAATATGACGAACAGTGTATACTCTAGCTCTAATTTTTCATAGTCTGCTTTGTTTAAACTTTTCCATGCTGGATGCCGTCATCATGCTGGGCTACTTAGATGCTCTCTGTGTGACCTAGGCTCAAATTCCACTTCTGTCACTTAACTGGCTGATCAATCAAGGTCAAGTAACTTATCCTCTCTGGCTTTTACTTTCCTCACCTATATATGGTATCTACTTCACAGGGTAGGGCAAAGTAGACCATCTTCTACCTCAATTCTTACCTAACCTTTAACTGTTGAGTGGGTGTTGCCTTAGACAAACTGAGACCTGGGAAAGATCTTAGCTTAAAAAGGTCACAGCATCCAGGGCCATCACCAGCCATCTTGACCTGTGTCTCGCCACTGGATCCCAATAACTCTGGAGAGAGAGACTGATGACTGCCCTGCCCTGCTTCACTCAAATCCATTTCATTGGCAAGTCAGGACCTCACCTTGCTGATGTCACTGGTCCTCTTCGAGAAAGAAGGACAAAAACAACATCAAACAATTTCACAGGGTAGTTGTGAAGCTCTAATGTGGCCGACTTTAGATGGATTGTCTGCCTGTCCGTAACATCGTTAGTCAGTGAAAAATATATAATAATTCTAACTTTTTAATAGTTTTGCTATTGGTGGTTAAAGAGTCCCTGAAATACATATAATCCCTGAAATATATAATCACTTCTGCAATATATTCAGTGTCTTTGACCTGGCATCATAATGAGTTCAATACTAGCCATACTCAAATGGCTAATAAAGGTTTTGTTGGCAACAGACTTGTCCCTCAGTAAATTCTCTCTCCAAAGGCCAAACTTAAAAGGTTATATATCAAATCTAACATATTTTGTCAGATGATAATAAATTTTCCCCCTATGAATTGAAATGAATTTTACTATAACTCTTCTAGTTGGCCATCTACTCCTAATTTAAACCTGAGGTCTTTGAAATGAATTTCAAATGCAACTATGAAGTGATGTATGGTGTCCCAAAAGTCTTAGTATGGCTTTATGCATTAAACCTATGTTTATATAGGCTATCTATCCTCTTAGCCACATGCTTGCATACTTCCCCTTCTCTTCCTCTATTACCCTTGACCCTCAATTTCCCATTATTTCTGGGTGATTTTTTGGCACACTTGCCCAGCAGTTTGATGCACCTAATCGCTTTGTTATGTCTGTATGTTGTATCTATTGACCCATCTGTCTGCCTGTGTCCATATGTGTGTAATAGTGCTTTGGCAGAATAGCACTGCTCATTCCGAGGTATATTTCTTTCATGCACCACACTTGGAAAAACGTTGTCCTAGTCTAGATAGTCCAAACTTGCCTGTTTGTTGTAAACAACATGTTTTTCCAATATCATTATCATCATTTTTCAAAACTACAATGGAATTAAAAGGATATCTGCCAAGCACAACCTAGAAGAATAGTCATGTACTTTTCCCATTTTCATGGATTGGAAACTAAAGTCAATCATCAGACTGTTTAAATTTTTTAAATAGTTTCTTGATGATTTCTTCCCCCAACCTCTCCAACTAATCTTAATCCCACAAATGTGATAAGACATCATTTCTTTAAAAAAAAAAAAAGCCTCAGAAATTAAGCACAGTTTTCCT